CATATTTATTCAACCCAAACCTGGTTGGTGTATCCATATACCCAACAAGACTTTATACTTGGCTTGGAGGCAGTTCTGGTTGCCTGGTATAAAGAAAGATGTGGACAGTTATGTGAAAAGTTGCACCATCTGCACCGCAATTAAAAAACAAACAGGAAACCCCCTAGACTACTACAAACGGTAGTGGAGCCAATGAGGACATGGGAGGAGATTGCAATGGACTTCATAGTGGAGTTGCCAAAAAGTGGGGGAAACACAGTGATCTGGACTGTAATGGACTTATTTTCCAAACAGGCGCATTTTATACCTTGCAGCAGACTACCCATAGCTCGCCAGTTAGCCAAGCTGTTCCTGAAGTACATCTACCACCTGCATGGAGTACCATGGAGAATTATCTCAGATAGAGGGGTCCAATTCACGGCTAAATTTTGGAGGGAGTTCCTGCGGTCCATTGGGTTGTTCCAGGGTCTTAGCTTGGCCTTTCATCCAAGCACCAATGGGGGAGCAGAGAGATTGAATGCCATAGTAGAGCAGTATCTGAGGTGCTACGTGAATTATCAGCAGTCCAATTGGGTGGACCTCTGCCTTTCACGCAGGTCATGTACAATAATGGCTGTTCACAGTAGCATGGGACTAACTCCCTTCAAGAAAGTGAGCAGCATGGACTTCATCCCAATGCCTGAGTATCCAAGGGACCCCACCTCCTCAGTCAGCCTGACCAATTGGATGTCAACACTGAAAGCAACTTGGGAGAATGTCAAAAAAGCACTGGCAAAAGTGGCACAGACCTATAAGAGACAGGCAGACAAACACCGAGCCCGACAACGACCATTCCAGTTGGGGGGGAAGGTCTATCTCTCCATCAAATATCTGAGCTTAACACTCCCTAGCAAGAAATTGGCAAAGTTCATGGGACCATTTCCCACAATAAAGATCATCAATCCAGTCATGGTGAAGTTGCCCCGATTGTTAGGGAAAATATACCCGGTATTCCATAGAAGCCTATTAAAACCCATGGTCGGATCAACACTGAGGCCCCTACCTCGTGAGCCCCCAGACCCCGTGGTCATAGGTCAAACCCATTATGAGGTGCAGTGAATCCTCAATTCGAGGTGGCTCAGGAAACAACTCCAATATTTAATCAAGTGGAAGGGCTACCCCTAATCAGAGGCATTATGGGTAAAGAGTAGAAATGTCCAAGCCGATCACCTTGTAGCAAGGTTCCATGCAGAAAATCCAACCAAGCCTGGGGGGGGGTGGTTTGTGAGCATAAGCTTCCATATCTGCAATCAATTTGTTTTTGTGTGTGCTGTACAGGTCACCTTCAAGAAGTGAGGGGATCCAAATGTCAACTCAAAAAACATTTTGTATTCACATTTTATAGTTGTCAACAGAAAGAAGGGAGGGAGTACATTCCAAAGAGCAGGCAACAGTGTGGAATCAAAAGTACATTCCATTCATATTTTCTTCAGAGACTGATTAGATGACTGAAGCTTCTGCCGCACAAAAATTTAATCAGAGAGCATAACTCTTGGCTATGGACGTGTTTCGTTGGATGATACACCCAGATGAGTGGGGGAAGGGAAGTAGGATCAAGGGTGACAGTGAATTACGTGTCTCAGAGTTGGCTCCGCCCAGGCTAACCCCAGAATGTAAATTTCTAATAAATCCTTTTTAGTTTTGGGAGTGTGGTTCGAGGATCATGATTTAATTGGAGTAACTGCCGGAATCCTGACACAAAGCACGAATGCTGTCAAAACCACTGAGGGCACTGATTCTGGGATTTGCTCCTCATTTTGCCTGGATAAACCTACAATTAGCAATTGTTGTGCCACAAATTTCAAGATGCCTGTAGTATACAAATAAAACAATTATAGAACTATATTTCTTAATTGTCCAAACTTATGGACCCCCTTGGTTTTACTCATGGGTGTAGGATTTCAAAATGTCTAGTTTTTAGGGAGCTATAGTATCTATGAGTTTAAAAATTACTCAAGTAAATTGTATGTGAAACATTTACCATGATAAAGTATATTTTTAACCAACTATACATAGTAGTTTATAGTAAAATCAATTACAGTATCACACAGAATATGTCACCCTGAATAATTCATTCCTCATCATTTATCTGTTTGGACCTTATGGAAAATAGAATGAAAGGATTATATCATCAAACAAGAAACAAAATCTGTTGATAGTTTGTCCTTATAACATTTGGCATAATGATACCTTGAAAACAATTATTATTTATACATCTGTATGCCAACAATTT